TCCGTATCTCCGGGGGGAGCTCGTTCCAGATAGTAGGTGCCCCCACAGAGAATAGATAGATGGAGGTTTAAATTCAGGTGCCCGGACATCTTACTTTCTCCCTTTTTTGGGGGGGAAAAAAAGGGGGCACCGGTGGGTGAGTTCCTTCTGGCTGAAGCAAACACGGGGAAAGTTTCTCTTATGGAGCCACCGTAGACTCATTGAGTTATCCTCCTGCAATCTTCTCTAGATGTTTGATCTTTTCCCCCCCCCCAAATGTTTTATTTTCTTTTAATACAAAACATTCCATCTTTCATTATGGAATGATTCACTCATCGTTCCCACCACCCATCTCCTCCCACTTATGATTGAACGACTGTAATTTTGTTGCTTGTATCCTTACGATTTATATTGATATTGTTTCCTGATTGCTTATTCGTTCCCTATGACTATCATTAAGTGTTGTACCTTATGATTCTTGATGAACGCATCTTTTATGTATACTCTTGAGCGTATGCACCCAAGACAAATTCCTTGTGTGTCCAATCACACTTGGCCAATAAAAAAATCTATTCTATTCTATTCTATTCTATTCTATTCTATTCTATTCTATTCTATTCTATTCTATTCTATTCTATTCTATTCTATTCTATTCTACTCTATTCCTATTCTATTCTATTCCTCTCCTCTCCCCTTCCATATTCTATTCTATTCTATTCTATTCTATTCTATTCTATTCTATTCTATTCTATTCTATTCTATTCTATCATTCATTAAATTTTTAACTGTTTTTAAATGTTTTAAACGTTTTTAATTGGTAAATGAGTTTTAATTGGGCCAAATTTATATATCTTTTAATTGTTTTTAATATTTGTTCTGCATGTTTTTTAATCTGGCTGTACACCGCCCTGAGTCCTCAGGGAGAAGGGCGGTATAGAAATCCAATATAAAATAAAATAAAATAAAATAAATATTCTATTCTATTTTATTCTATTCTACTCTTTATTATTCTATTCCTCTTCTCTTCTATTTTTCTCTTCTCTTCTCTATTATTCTATTATTTTCTATATTCTCTTCTCTTCTCTTTATTCCATTCCATTCCATTATTCTATTCTATTCTATTCTATTCTATTCTATTCTATTCTATTCTATTCTATTCTATTCTATCATTCATTAAACAGTGTGTCATCTGGGTACAATTTTTTTTTGTGTCATAACAATTAAAGCTTACCACCATCTTCCTTATTTATATCTACTCTTCGTTTAATATTAATACTTAACATATCTATTATCATAACATTTCTCTTCTTATTTAACTTTACTATAGGTTGCTTTCATATTTATTCTCTAACCATCGATAAAATAAATCCCATATATTATAATAACCAGATTCTTCCTTTCCCTTAATTGCAAGTGTTAATCTATTCATTTCTGCACATTCCAAAATTTCCTCAAACCCATTTTCCTCTTTTAAGAATCTCTTCACCTTTCCAATTCTGTGCAAATACCAATTCCAGCCGCAGTTATTACATGAATAATCAAGTATGAAATTTCTTTACTATAATAATTCCTTGCTAAAATCCCCAACAAGAATATCTCAGGTTTTAAGTCAGTATGCTGCTGTTTTATCTTCTCCAACCACATACGAATTCTTGCCCGGTATTCTACCACAAGATGTTTGATCTTGTTTAGCCCGGATTAACATTCGTGGCTTGGAGAAAACCATGGTTGAGAAGTATTTGTGAGGGGGAAAAAAAATTAGCTTTGGAAAGGGGGACGTGGAAACCGTCGCAGAGAGGGAGAAATAAACCTGCATTTCGACTCTAAATCAGGATGGAAAAATGGCCACCCGTCTTTCTAAAGGAACCCTGTGCAATTTTGACGGGTATATTTCCGTGCAACCTTCGATTCCTCTCAGCTAATTATCGTCACGTGTCCTCAGACATTAGTGCAACTCCAATTCTTCTCAATCCCCCACCCCACCCCAATCCCAACCCCACCAGCCTTGTTCCATCCCTGGTGTAGCTAGAATGCTAGTTTATTGATCTCTCCCTTCATCCGATGATGGTCATCGTCGCCCCGGGACTTGTTGAGGGCACACGGTTGAGTGGGCACGTCCCATCGACCTTGAGCAAGGAGAGGACAGCTCTGGCCAGGAAAAACCACGTCAAGTTTCCCCACCACGAGCTCCAGTTGGGGGGTCAACTTTCCAAATTCAGGAGGGAACCGGAAACAACCTTGAGTTGAGATGTTCAAAAGACTGCAGAGAAGAGCAACGAAGAAGATTGGAGCACTGGAGGATAAAATATACGAAGAACGGTTGTAGGAATTGGGGAGGTCTAACTTTAATGAAAAGAAGGACTGAGGGGTGACACGATAGCAGTCTTCCAATATTTGAGGGGCTGCCCCCCAAAAAAGAGGAGGGGGTGGGTTTGTCAGCTTATTCTCCAAAGCTCCTGAAGGTAGGATGAGAAGCAACGGATGGAAACTCACCAAGGAGAGAAGCAACCTGGAATTGAGGAGAAATTAACCAGTGGAACAGCTTGCCACCAGAAATTGTGGGTGCTTCATCGCTGGGGGTTTTAAAGAAGAGCCTGGACTGTCATTTGTCTGAAATGGGGTAAGGTCTCCTGCTTGAACAGGGGGTTGGACTAGAAGACCTTCAGGGTCCCTTCTTGTTATTCCGAGTGATGGAACAGATGAGTTTGGAAGAAGGTGGCCATTGGACATCCTTTCTCAGAAGACGGTCTTCTCAAAGCTCTGGCTTTCTTCTCCAGAATTGTCATTTTGTGGGAGTGGGTGGGTGGGGGGTTTCCAACCCTTTTCAAGGGGAGACCCCAAGAAGACCATGCCTCTTCGTTTGGCTGGTTGATCTCGAGAGGTTCCCAACCACCCCGTGAAGCTTTCAGTGGTCCTCCCAGCTTCGCCGTTGACCTTGGCGCTTGGATGCCCCCCGGACACATCACACGGAGGGCTGATTCCACTTAGTGACAAGATGGCGTCAAAATGGAACAGCCCCCCCGTCCTCCCCCCCCAATTCTTGTTTGATGAGCCCTCCAGCAGGGTCTCAGCTGGCTTCCATACAACCATCGAAGAGAGAGAGAGAGAGAGTTGAGAGGTCCAATTGGTAAGCTGATTAATTTGGAGATAACGATTTGTGGGGGAGTTTTTTTTAAACGGGGAAAAGCCGAGATTTCTACTTAAAATAATAAAAATGGGACAATTTTAACTACGCAAAAAAAAAAAAAAAAAAAAAAAAAAGATCGGTCACTTACGTAAATTTACGTAAATTAAATGAAGGAAACGAACCGAGGATTGGCGAAGGAAGGAAAAGGATAAATAGTAAATTGAGAGTCGGTTTCAGTAGTGGGTTCCTCCCGGTTCGGCCGAGCCGGTTAGCGGTGACGATATGACGTCACCGAACCGGGTTTTTTTTTTTTTTTTTTTTGGCAACGAGGATTAATTTTAAAACGGGAGGCGGATCGCAAACTTTTGATTTTGAAAGTTTATTTGTAGTCAAATCGAGGGCTGAATTTCAGGCTTGGAAAACCTGTTCGGTCGCTGTCGACTTTTTAATAAACGAGGGTCAATTTTTCAAACGGGAGAATTGCAATTTTGCTCTATCTGCAAGAAACCATTTGCTTCCAAGGATGTTTCTCGCTCCTCGTGAAATCCAAAGTTTTGTGCTCTTAAAAATCGAGTGCGAAATTCACCCGTCGCTTGGAGAGATGCCACCTCGTGGCCAGGATGGATTCAGCTCCCGAGAGGCACCCAAATAAACCACGTTCATCCATCGTTACAGGCGGGGGTGGGCTTCAAAGATTTTAGCGACAGGTTCTCTGCCCAGTTGCTAGGTGGGTGTGGCCTAGTTGGCCTGCTGCACCACGGGGGGGGGGGGAGCATTTTTGCCCTGCCCGGGCTCTGGAGGCTTTTTTTGAACCTCCGGGAGGGCGAGAACGGCCTCCCCAGGCTCCGGAGGCCCGTTTCCAGACTTCCTGAACTTCCGGTAGGCCCATTTTTTGCCCTCCCTGAGCCTCCGCGCACACTCTGCACTTACCTGCATCGAAAACACGCTGCGTGGGGACTCCTGGGAGGGGCGGGGCCAGCCAGGAGTGGGATTTGGGGGTTGACCAAACTGCACAGAATCTTAGCTAGAGGTTCTGCCGAACCCCTGCGATTCCTCAGCAGCCCACCCCTGGTTACAGGACGGAAAAAACCCTTTGAGGGCGAATTGCTGACAAACCAGGTTATTTCCCCACTTCCTATCCACCCAAACCGGGTTTCCTTATTCTGGAGGGGACTTTTCTAACCATGTTTGAACAACAACAAAACACAAAGGAAGTGTGTGTGTGTGTTTGCGAGGCAAACTTGCCCGTTTTATTTCAAACAGCCCAACGCAGATAGGACGCTGAGCAAGCCCGTTTTAGGAGCGAGGTCTGAAGGGGCGCCACGTCCCCGAAGGACGCGTGGCACGGTGCCACTCGGCCTCGGCGGGTGGCTCTTTAAAGTGCTCCCTGAAGTGTAAAAAGAGGACACAAAATTTTTTACTTTCTCTCGGACGATCTCCTGCTCCGGAACCGTGGAAAGGCCTCGCCGGATGCGTCCCATGCCACGTGGAATCTTCCTCTCTCGCATTAAGTGGACATTACGACGTCCACTAGCCGCGCCACGGAAAGCGAAGCCACTTTCCGGGGCCAACGTCAGCGGGGTTGGTGTCGAAAGAGGAAAGTTCCGATGTAAAAGATTTTCCCGGAGCGGGCAAAAAAAGAGTCTCGTATAACTTGGCCTGATCTTGGTTTGTTCGGCATGCTGGGAGAACGAGTCTTTGTCAATAAATAAGAGTGAGGGGGGGGGGAATAATTAGAAAAAATAAGAATAAAGGGGGTTGTGGGGGAGAAAAGAGAGGCTTATTTACAAAACGTTTCGGAGGCAGAAAGGAAGGAAGGAAGGAAGGAAGGAAGGAAGGAAGGAAGGAAGGAGGGAGGGAGGGAGGGAGGACTTCTCCCTCCTACTTCCACCCCGCGGTATTTTCACGGGGTGGTGGTGGTGGTGGTAGTAGAGGCAAGGCCAGTTCTTTTGGTCCAGATTTGGGGTGGGAAGGAATAGGTACCCCTCCTGAGCAAAAGGAGGGGGTGGTGGTGGAAAGAAGGGAATGTCACAGGGTGCTTTCCAACGTGTTGTAGTTGTCTTTGAAACTCTTGAGTTCCAGGAAGTGCTTGGCTCGCTTGCTCTTCTGGCTGGAAGGGAGGTAGGTGACCTGAATGGTGGGGCTGGAAGGGTCAGAGGAGAGGGTCAAGTCCTTGGCCGCCGACTGATGCTGCCGCTGGCTGCTCTCGCCCCGGGCTTTGACGCTGTGTGGGGAAGAAGGTGCGAAGGTTTAGGCCATTATCAATTTCGATTGAATTCAATTTATATGCCGCCCCTCTCCGAAGACTCAGGGCGGAGAAGAGAGAGAGAGAGAAACCCAAATGCCCAGGTATGAAAACCAGATTTAAATATCAGGGAGATCCTACGTAGACTTAACAGCGGCAAGAATTGCGTTCGCGCAATATTGGAAAGAACGTAACTTACCACCAGACGGATTGATTATCCCAAAAAAAATAAAATAATAATATTTGAATGTGCCGAAATGAATCAACTAACTTTAGGATTAAAAGAAAAAGAGGATTCGGAATATTACGCGGTTTGGGAAAAATGGTATAGGTGGAGAGACAACAGAAACAAAAAATAGGTAATATTCATAAGGAAGTTGAGGATGTGTGTGTGTATCTATCTATCTATCTATCTATCTATCTATCTATCTATCTATCTATCTATGTAGGTCTTTGGTTATTCGGGTCTTCTCCCACGTAAAATTGGAAGTGTCTTGGCGACGTTTCGACGAAGTCTCATTCGTCATCTTCAGGCTGGTGTTCTCGGCTTCGTGCTTCCAGGAGCAATATCCATACATACATATACATCCTCAACTTCCTTCCAACTCTTTTGTTACCTTCCCCTTCCTTTCCCCGCAGTCCCTCTGCCAACTTACATTGTTGCCAGCTCATTCAAGGCCTCCTGGAAACTGAGGAATTCCACTTTGCCGAACGCCTGTGGGCAGAAAAAAAAACCCCACCTGTATCTTTAAATCTGCCTGAAATGGGGCAATACAACCACATTTCAGCCCTGGAGGGCAAGGGGTGGGGAGGGGTGGGGTGGGGGAAAAAAACTCACCCCCGTCCCGTAGCGGGCGTTCTCGTACCCGTCCAGGAGGGCATCGATCAGTGTCTTGCGGAGCCCTTTCAAAGGGCTGCTGGAGTTGCGGAGATCCATGAGGTAAGCCTGGAAGTTTTTCTCCATCAGCAACTTGGGGTAACGGCCTTCCATGGAGTAGGGGATCTCTGCGGGGGGAAGGGCAGAAGGGACACGGTCACGCGGACACACGTGGCAGGGTTCGCCGTGGTTTTTTTTTTTTTTGCAACGATTGTATGGGGGCCCGGATTGGGAATTCTGCAACGGTTCAAATACATAATTTCCCCTTCTGCGTTAATATACATACATACATACATACATACATACATACAAGTCTTTGGTTATTCGGGTTTTCTCCCGCGTAAAATTGGAAGTGTCTTGGCGACGTTTCGAAGAAGTCTCATTCGTCATCTTCAGGCTGGTGTCTTCGGCTTCGTGCTTCTAGGAGCAATGTGTGATCACAGCTATTTCTTCCTTTTAACTGCCAGTGGGGGTGTGAACTGATTGGGTGGGAGCTTGGCTGTGCTCTGATTGGATGGGGGGGGGTTGGATGTGCTCCGATTGGATGGGGGGTGTTATGTTTGGATGGGGGCTTGGGACTTTGTCGAAACGTCACCAAGGCACTTCCAATTTTACGCGGGAGAAAACCCGAATAACCAAAGACCTACATACAAACACCCGCGAAAACCTCAGAAAACACACACACACACATATATGCCCCCCCCCTCGTTGCTCTGCTGGATGCCTTTCTCGTTTTTACCTGTGTCTCTGATAGCGTCCAAAGCCTTCATCCGATACAGGTAGTCGTAAGGGACTGAAACGGAAACAGGGGAAGGTGAGTTGGGGGCCAGGTCTCCCGGGGCTTCTGCCTTCGTCTCCACCCACCCACCCACCCGCAGATTCCGCGGTCCAGTACATGGGTTTCTAGGCGAGTCGAGTTGTAGCATCCGAGTGTCACTGTACAGCAACAGCCGAGGCTCGTATCTGATGTCCTGAACCCGGGACAGTCGGATGTCAATCTCCTCCTTGAGTCCCTGAACGGAGAGAGAGAAATTGAAAGGAGAAAGAGAGAGCGAGCGAGAGAGAATGAGAATGAGAGAGAGCGAGCAAGAGAGAAAGAGACCGAGAGGGAGGGAGAGAAAGATGAGAGAAAGAATGAGAGAGAGAATGAGAGAGGGAGGGAGAGAATGAGGAAGAGAAAGAGTGAGAGAAAGAATGAAAGAGAGAAAGAGCGAGAGAGAATGAGAAAGAATGAAAGAGAGAAAGAATGAGAGAGAATGAAAGAATGAGAGAGAAAGAATGAGAAAGAGAGAGACAGAGAGAGAGGCAGGAATGGGGAGAGAGAGAGAGAAAGAGAGAGAAACATAGAGAGAGAGAGGGAGGGAGAGAAAGAGAGAGAATGAGAGAAAAAGAATGAGAAAGAGAGAGGGAGGGAAGGAGAGAGAATGAGAGGGAAAGAGAGAATGAGAAAGAATGAGAGAAAGAATGAAAAAGAGAGAGAATGAGAAAGCAAATGAGAGAAAGAATGAGAGAGAGAGAAAGAGGAGAGAGAGACAGAGAGAGAAAGAGAGAGAGAGAGAGGTGGGGGGAGGAGACAAGGATTAGCTTCCCGCGTGGCAAATCTCCAATTCGAACTCCTGCCACCTGGTGCTTAAAGATAGACTACTCCTGGCTGGGGGAGCAATTTCTCATGGATCTGGCTCTCTTTGAGAACAGCGAACGTTATGGGCCTCTGGTACGAAGCGGCCAAGATTTGCAAAATGATAATTAGGAAGAATGCTTCAGGAGGTTGCAGACTGGTCAGATTAGTACACGCGCTCACCCTCTGGAATCGCCGATAAAGGAGAATATTTGGCGCTCAGGGATGGAATGAGGGCTCCTTGGTGCTCTCTGAGCTGGGTGGGTTTTTTTGGCAGACGTCTCATGACCCAAGTAGGTACCATCATCAGGACTGGAAGGGAAGGGAGGTTGCTAAAACTAAACAGAGAGCAAACTGCCCTCCCTTCCAGCACTGATGATGTTACCTAGTTGGGTCATGAAATGTCTGCCAAAATATGACCAAGCACCAAGCACCTTCGCCTCTGGAGCCATTTTCGATCCTTACGGTACCTTGTCTTCTTAGATAATATTTAAATTGTCTGTAAAAGGTGCGCCAAGCTTTTCGCTGGTTTTATGATTCGTTTTTTAAGGCTGAAATCAGAGGGCTCTAGGGGAATTCACAAAATCCGTTCCTCCCCGCCCCATCCAGACGGGAAAAGACCTCGGGCTTCTTCACCAACCTTGGGGGCGTGTTGCCCCACCGGCACGTGGGGCCCCCGGCGAGACTTCATGGCGAAGCGCATGATCTGCCTCTTGACGAAGATGAAGAGCAGGACGAAAACCTGGAGAGGGGGCAAAGGAAAGGTCTTTACAGATACAGATTGAAAAAGAGTTACTACAAATAGTAACTAAATACCCACAGGTTCTAAATTGAAAGTAGGGGCCCAATGATGACAAGTTAGAGAGCTTGTTGCCAAAAAGAAAACTTTTAAAGTGTGGGTTGGGATTTTAGCCAGAGTCTCAAAAGACCTTACAAAGTGTTTTGTTGGGATTTTGGAGGATTTTAAGCTGGGATTTTAACCAGGATGTTTGTATGTAGGTCTTTGGTTATTTGGGTTTTCTCCCGCGTAAAATTGAAAGTGTCTTGGCGACGTTTCGACGAAGTCTCATTCCTCATCTTCAGGCTGGTGTCTTCGGCTTCGGGCTTCTAGGAGCAATGTGTGATCGCAGCTGTTTCTTCCTTTTTTTTTTTCACAGCCAAGCCCCCAACCAATCAGAACACACCTCCACCCAATCAGAACACAGCCAAGCTCCCACCCAATCAGTTCACACCCCCACTGGCAGTTAAAAAGAAGAAACAGCTGCGATCACACATTGCTCCTAGAAGCACGAAGCCGAAGACACCAGCCTGAAGATGATGAATGAGACTTCGTCGAAACGTCGCCAAGACACTTCCAATTTGACGCGGGAGAAAACCCAAATAACCAAAGACCTACATACATACATATATAATTTATTATTATTATTATTATTATTATTATTATTATTATTATTATAACAATAATATATAAGGCATATATTATGGATAATATTAGTAATAATAAATCAAATGGAGGATCTCAGGTCTCTCTGCTTTCGAAAGCTGCAGACTCCAACTCCCATCACCCAAGCCAAAAGCTTCCCTCCCCATGGACTACAAAGCCCATCGTCCAAGGCACCTCCCCTTCCCCTCCCCCCCACTCCCAGTTTCTTCTCCCCTCCCTGCTGGGTTTCCATCTCCGAAGCAGCAGCAGCAGCAGCAGCGGCTGGGGACGATGGGCTCTGTGGTCCCAGCCTCCCCTCCCACCCCCACTCCCACTAAGGGAAAGGCGAAAGGCGTCCGAGGGGCGCGGATTGGCCTCACCAGGCTCCCGTAGGCCATCACCAGCACCACGTTCACCCCGGAAAGCCAGTTGCTGGACGGCACCGGCGAAGAAGCGGAGGGGGAAGAGGAGGAGGGGGAAGAGGAGGAGGAAGACGACGACGAGGCGGCGGCGGCTGCGGAGGAAGCGGAGCCGGCCATAGCCCGGCGAGGCTCCTGGCCTGGCAGCCCTCAGGGCCGCACAACATGGCCGCCGCCGGAGCCGCCCGCGCGCCGGTCACGTGGCCATGGTGGCCACGCCTCCAGGCCATATACGAGACTGGGTCAGCTGACCGGAAGCAGAGGTTGCGCGGGGGGGGGGAACCACGAAGAGAAAGGCGGCTCGCTTGGGCGGCCATATTGGAAAGCCCAAAGAGAAAGGGCCGACAGGCGTTCTCATACACGTCCGGTTCTCAAGGGGAAGGCAGGAGAGTGGCGGGGTTATGCAAACGCTCCAAATTAAAATAATTAAAAAAAAAAAACACCAAACCCCAAAAAGTTCCAAAATGAACTCCGGGCCGGAGTCGAACAGGAGCAAGAATCGATTTAGATTGAAGAGCAAGATGATCTTGCTTTTGCGTTTTTGGCCAAAACCCCGCATTGGTGGGGAAGGTCTCGTCGCACGGGAACCGGAACTGTGTAAAAAAAACAAAACCTTTCTCTTTTCCCAAAGGCTTCATTAAATTGAAAAAAAAGTTGGGTTTAGTTAGGATGCTGGAGACAAGAGATGTGGGGGGGAAGAAAAGGAAAAAAAAAAAAAGGGAGCCAAACACAGTCACGTGCTCGGAGGCGGGGCCAAGGGGGGGGGAGAGAGCCGAGGAAAACAAACACAGGAGGGAGGGAGGGAGGGAGGGGGTAAACAACTCCTCCTCCTCCTCCTCTCTTGTCCCCCCTCCTCCTTCTCCTTGCGCGCAGGCGCACTGGCGAAGAGGGGGGGCGTGTCGCGGCCACCTGACGCCGGGCGTCCCCCCAACATCGCGCGCGCGGCCCCGCCCCCCGCGCGTCACGTGGCCGAAGGGGGGCGGCGCCTCGCCCGCGCTGGCTTCAGTTGTCAGTGTGCGTGTGTGGCGGCGGCGGCGGCGGCAGCGGCGGCGGCTGAGGTAAAAAAAAAAAAAAGGAGAGGAAAAATGGCGCGCGGCCCCTTTAAGAGCCGGCCCCGCCTCCTCCTCCTCCCCCCTCCCCCTCCGATAATCCCCGCTTTACTTTTATGAGGCGATTCCCGGGAACCGGCGGCGGCAGCGGCGGCGGCGGAAGGCGGGTATCTGGCGGGTCGGCCGTGGAAGCGGGTGGTGGTGGCGTCGGCTCCGGAGGGTCTTTTTCCTGCCGGCCTGAAGGGGGAGGAAGGGGGCGTGAGGAGGCGGGCAAGTTCCGGTGGGGGAGCGCCTCCGCTGAGGCCTAGTCGGCCGGGGTGAAGCCGGGGACTCGCGTAGCGCGGCAAGCCGGGCCGGGCGAGGCCAAAGTCGGCCTCGACCCCCGGAAAGACCCCGGAAGGGGGGAAAAATGTTTTTTTTTTCCTCTTCCTTCTCGGCTTCCATCTGCTTTCCGTCCACCCACCCCGAGGCCCGGGAAGCCCCGACGGGCCCCTCCTTCCTTCCTCCCCCCCACTCTACGCGAACAGCGCCGGCCCTTCCTGCCCGGGCGAGGCCGCTTCCCCCTCGAGGAAGCGCCGCTTCATTGTTTCCTCCCGGGCCCGCCGGCCTCGCCTCGGCCCTCGGGGGCCAAAGGAGCCGCGGGGCGGGAGTCCCTTCTCCCCTCTTCCCCCCCCCCACGTGGAGGGGCGACCCCCCGGAAAGCCCCCCCTCCCCCATGTCCAGGGGGCGGAGCCTTGACCCCCCCCTCAATCAGGCCTGCCTGGACGGAGCCCCCCCTCCTCCTGGCCGAGTTTCCTGCCCCCCCCGCAATGGGACGCCCCCCTCCCTCCCTCCCTTTTTTGGGGAAGGGGCATCTCCAAAGAGGGTGGGGGGGGAGAGGCTGAATAAAGTTGGGTCCTTGGCTCCTCAAATCCACCTTTTTTCCTGGCTTTGGAGGGGAGGCATTTTTATCCCTCCCTGGAAAAGTGGCAGGGATCTCCTAGGATCCACCGTGATCTCTTCCTCCTCCTCCTCCCTCTGGCATGCGGGGTGTGTGTGTGGGGGGGTGTCCTTGGCCTAAGATCAGCGTCTCTCTAAGTGGCTGGCAGGAATCTGATCCCAAGTGATCCCTTTTTCCATTTGGGGGATCCTTTGCTTAAGATAATTTTTTTTTTGCCTCTTCAAAAAGTGGCGGAAATCTCCTAAAGTTTGATCCCAGCGGATCCCTTCTTCCTTCTTCCGTTTGGGGGGGATCCTTTGCAATAGGATTGCAGGTCTCTTCTTTGCCCCGTCCAAAAAGTGGCAGAAATGTCCTAAAATCTGATCCAAAGTGATCCCTTCTCCCTCTTCCATTTGGGGGGGATCCTTTGCTTAAGATCAGCGTTTCTATTTGCCCCTTCAAAAAGGGGCAGAAATCTCCCATAATCTGATCCGAAATGATCCCTTCTCCCTCTTGCGTTTGGGGGGATCCTTTGCTTAAGATCAGCGTTTCTATTTGCCTTTTCAAAAAGGCAGAAATCTCCCCAAATTCTAATCTAAAGCGATCCCTTCTCCCTCCTTCCCTACCTGGGGTCTTTTGCATAAAACGGGGGTCTCGATTTGCCTCCTCAAAAAGTGGCAAAAAAACCCCCAAAACAACTCTACTAAAACCGAAAGTGATCCTTTCTCTTTCCACATAGAGGGATCTTTTGCATAAGATGGTCGTCTCGATTTACTTCCTCTAAAAAGTCAGATTTCCTAAAATCTGCTCTCAAGTGATCCCTCTTCTACTGAAGGGGATCTTTTGCATAAGATCGGGGTCTCTGTTTCCCTCTAACTTCCCCCTCCTTTCCATCATATCATCACCATCTCTTCATTTTTCCTTTTTAGTCCTCTTGTTTAAAGAAAAAAAAATTCGAAGGCTTCTTAAATCTTGGGAGTGTGGTTCCTCCTAAGCATGCCAGCTCCTTTTTCAGCAGGCAGAAGGCTGTTCCTTTGTTATCCTCATACCGTAAAAAAGGAAGGATTGGTGCCAGGCAATGTTGTTTGCAGCAGAGCGGGGTTCAAATCCAGCTTGACTCAGGGCCAGGCCGGCTGCTGAGTTAAGGGAAGCCCATGTGCTCACCCGTTATCTCCTTGAACCCCGAAGCTGGGCCAGAAGTTTTACTGGAAGAATCTCCCAGGAACCCTGGAAGTTTTTAAATGCCCACTTTTGCGGAGAAAAAAGTGATGCAGAAGCATTCGAAGGATAAAGTTTTAGATCATTTGATTTCTTTTTTTTTACAAAGCTAGCAACGGCTATTCTCTTTAGGATTCCTCTGTAAGGCATCACTTTCCCAGACGCTTCCCAGCTCACTGTAATTCCCGAGGCCCTGGGAATTTACCTTCTGCAGTATCTATTCTAGATCTCTTCCCCTTTCGGTTTCCCTTAAATGAACAAAACCATTTTTTGTGTGTGGGTTCTGCATCGCCTTGAGAGTGACTTCACCTGGGACTTTGTCACCGTAAGAAACTTACAGGCCCGCTGTGTTTCCTTCTCTTAAATCTTCACTATTTGTGATATTCTTAAATACCTTCTCCAAAATAAACAGCTTGGGTCACTTCCCAACCAGGAAGGCCACAATTGTGGGAGTTTCACAATGGCTGTAAGTCAGCACAATTTCTTGGTGGATGGACAAAAAAAAAAAAAAAAAAGCCACAGTAGATATATCTTTTCATCCTTCCGAAATGTTCACTGCTCCTCCTGTTCCTATTCATCCCATGAGTTCTGTGATTTTCTTCTCTCACCCCTCTTTTTTTTTTTTTATAAAAGACCTAAAACCAATGTTGACATTCTTGCTCTTTAACTTTTCCTGGCATCATTCTTTCCTCAAGGACATTCTTTCAAGCAAAATCGCACCATAATATTTTTTTTCTCTCAGGAATGGCGCTCCAGTCTTATCAATCGTTAGGAGCTTGTAGGTGCTTCTTTATGTCCCAAAAGAAACGAAAAGAATTTCAGGGGAGGGGGGTGTTTTGAGGTTGTTGTTTTTTTGTGTGTGGTAAGCAGTATATTTTTCCTAACAAAATGTAATCGTGAATCCTCCTTGCCTACTTCAGTAATCTGTATTTTGTGTTCTTAGTTTTTCAGTGGGGCTGCTCTTCTTTTGTATTTATTCTGAGGTAAGTCGGTCTTACTTCCAGATGGACGTGCAGGGAACTACAATCTTAAATTGAAAACAGTGCTATCTCTTTATTTTTATTTTTTTTAAAGAAAGAAAAGGCCCTGTTAACCCAGCCTCTCTTTGTAAGCCCAAGATGCCATTTTTTAATTTTTTTTCTTCTGAACTTCTTAACGAAGAAAGTTCCTGCTTTCACGTTGCTCTTTGAAGATAGTAGTTAGCAATTTGGCCAGCAGAAAGGCCTCAGTTCAGAAATCAGCCATTATCTCTGGACAGAAAAACGGCCTACGAATGATTAGAAGCTTGCTCTCCCTGGATGGAAGCTATGATCCAAGAATTATCCTCTCTCTGGAATCACATGGGAAAGAGTAATATTGCCATTGCATAGGTTGGAACACGGAGTAAACTATTCTAGAAATTAGTTTGGGGAAGACTAGCGTGCATTACATTTTTATATATGACTCTTATATACCCTTTTGGCCGCCTTCACCTGCCAGCAAGGTGAGAACTGCCATTCTTTTAAGGAGACACTTGCACGGCCTTTTTACTTATCAATTATCTTTTCTCCAAATCCCTGATCATCTTCCCTGCTTTTTTGTTTTTTGTTTTTTAAACCACTTCCATCTTTATTACCGTTCTTGAAACATCTGCTATCTGGTAGTGAATTTATTGCCATTTGTTTGCCTTTATAAAGGAATGGATGATCTATCAATCTTCAGCAGGATGGCTTCGGGAGCAGAAGGCCACTCTGGGAGAGAGTGTGAGAGAGCCAAAAGCTACTTTAATCCCTCTACCCGGCCCATTTGGCGAAATAATATCGGAGTAGAACGTGGGATAATGGGCAACACTGGTGCTCCCTAGACTTCCATCTTCTGCAAACTCACCCATCTCGACAAAAGGGGGGTTTTGCTTTCTCGTGCTCTTAATTGTGGATTTTCACTCTTGTAAAGAAGCGCCATTTGTCAGGATCTCCCCTGACCAAAAGTCTCCAGCCAGGGACTTTTGTTTTCTTAGCCCTCGAGAAT